CGGAGCGCAGGTTATTTCCGAGTAAACTGAAAAGCAGTTGTTTTTTCCCCTAATGAAGCTGCTGTCTTCGGCATATTAATCAGGGACGTGGACCCCCATCCATCGAGAGCTGGCCCTCCCAGTAAAAACGCCAATTATGCTGCCCGATTCTGTGGGTGGTGACTCGGAAACAGCTGTCACTTGAATCCAATGGGGCTCGCGACCAACTTAATATGTTATGGGGAGCTGGCGCAACCCTAGTCGGGGTTGCGGGTCGTGTCAGAATTGTCTTACCGTATTTTCCGCGCTGCGCGTAGCCACCCGCGCCCTCCCTTGGATTCTGCTAATCCTCATTTTGGTTCAAAAAGCAATTAGGAGGTTCCTCCTGGAGGAGGAAGATGATTTGGGGAAGGGAGGGAGGAACAATTAGAGCCTCTCCAAACAAAGGTAATCCATTGTCAGTAGCAAGGGCAGGGCTTGAGATAAGGACAATGAGGGCGAGATAAGCGGAGCAGCAGCAGCGCTGCCGAAAAGGACGAAACGAAGAGCCTTTTATGAGCTGTACTTATCTTGGAGGCGATAAGTGACCAACAGCGGCGCTTACGAGGAGAGAACGCTTTTTGAGGTGCATCTAGTCAGGCAGGACTCCCGGGGTCCCCAAAAAACAACACCAGAGGGACTGAAGACCGGTGAGGGCCCGGGTAGTCAACGGGGCGCCCTCCAGGTGCTGTTGAACTACAATTCCCATCTGCCTCAGTTTGGCCGGTGGTCATGGATAACGGGAGTTATAGTCCCTCAATTTATGGAGGGTGCCGCTTTGGGTACCGCTGGATTAGGAGAAGGTAATGTCAGAGCATCTCAATGTCAGAATATCTGCCTTGCATGCGGGTGCAGCTCCAAGGAAGGCTGGGAGAGACTCCAGGACTCCCCAAAACCCGATGACGCACTATAAGGCCGTCCTACGTTCCCACGTTCAGAGGAATAACGGTGTTAGTCGGATGCTGCAGCAAAAAGTAGGGAGAATGAGGACTTGCTTCGAAGTCAGGGTCCTTAAGCATGGCAGGTGGTCGCCCCACACCCCTAAAACCGATCGCGCGTCTGTTTTGATCCCACACCTTTGTATTTAGAAGCAAAGTCCGGTAGATGTCAGCCGTCCAATTTATTCCCAACTCGGAACGTGGGGAGCTGTCTCCTGCCGAGTCAGACCACTGACTGCTGCGTCCAGATCTGTGTCGTCTACATGGACTGGCGGCGGCGGTGCAATGTCTCAGGCAGATGCTCTGCCACGGGGCTACGACCCTTCCCCAGCTGCGAATGATAATAATGCTTTAGCATTTGTATGGCGCTTTTTACTACTTAGGATGCTTCGCGGCCATGGTTCCAGCGACCCCTCCATCCATACCCCCTTGTTCTATTGACACCCCCCCCCACACACACACACCTTGTGGTTTGTTTATTTTTTGCTTCCGCGGGGTTTCAGCTTCAGCGTACAGGCGCAATCCCATGAATGCTGGTTGGGACTTGAAGCTCCCCGGTGCGTGTATAGGATCGCAGCATTAGGCTTCCTTTAGCGCTCAAGAAAACACCTACAATGGTACCTCGGGTTACAGACGCTTCAGGTTACAGGCTCTGCTAACCCAGAAATAGTCCTCGGGTTAAGAACTTTGCTTCAGGATGAGACCAGAAATCGCGCAGCAGCAGCGCAGTGGCAGCAGCGGGAGGCCCCATTAGCTAAAGTGGTACCTCAGGTTAAGAACGGTTTCAGGTTAAGAACGGACCTCCGGAACGAATTAAGCTCGTAACCCGAGGCACCACTGTACTGGTTTTCATCCGCGTCTCAGCAGGTTTGTGAATCAGACCTGAGATTTGGTTTTTATCCTTGGTTGGACTGATGTTCATATATCCTAACTGACTCTTCCAACCGGGTCATATTCCTTCCATCGGAACGTCGTAGAGGTTGGAATCTGAACACGTGTTGTGTTGCTCGCCCACGTCGCTTGTAGTGGGAACGCGAGACCACACTCACACGCACGGCGACGGCGACCATAACTAACCCCGTGAAAACAAAAAAAATCCTTCCAGTAGCACCTTAAAGACCAACTAAGTTAGTTCTTGGTATGAGCTTTCGTGTGCATGCACACTTCTTCAGATACACAGTGTGCATGCACACGAAAGCTCATACCAAGAACTAACTTAGTTGGTCTTTAAGGTGCTACTGGAAGGAATTTTTTTGTTTTGACTATGGCAGACCAACACGGCTACCTATCTGTAACTCCGTGGTTAGATGTTAGGGGACGGCTGAGGAAGGCCCGGGTGTCCCTCTCCCTTAGTAGGAGGGCTGAAATCCTTGTAGAGCCTGCCTAGATCAGAGATATTCGTGGGGGGTGGCATCCGGAATGCTTGGCTATCAGTTTTTCTTATCTTTTACGTCGTTTTCTCTCTCCGCCTTTTACTCGCAGGAATAAAAGGGAAAGCATGCAGGCAGCAGTGTTTGTATACAAGTGCTCACCAAGAAGTAATACAGTGGAAGAAGATTTAAAATTACATCAGGCCAGGACACATTTTGAAGAAACGCGCATTTGCCACCAAAGACAGCGGTTGCGCTTAAGATCCTTACTTCCACAGCCTTAAAATGACCTAACTCGGGTCCGCAGAAAGAAGGCCCACTGCTCCTCGATCTGTTTGCACGCCTCTCTGCGTGTCCCTGTCACGTGTAAATGCATAGGATCCTCTTTGCTCCCGAAAACGACCGCGCCGGTCAAACATCCCCTCTGCCTTGGTCTGTCTGCTCTTTGCCTCGGTATTACGAAACCACAAGGCAAAGACTTGGCTTTTGACCGTTAGGTCTGAAAACGGGGCCGGGTTTTCTTTTGCACACTGGAGGAGCCGGAGCCCGTTCGTTTGGGGCTAAATTGAATCCGGTTCTTCTCATCTTTCTGGATCTTGCAGAAAGTGCCCTTAAGCCAGAGAAAGGCAGGTCCAAGCGCCTTGGCTGTGCATCACAGTGGTCACAGTTTAGCAATTTAAGACCACATGGACTTAAAGGCATTAGGTGAGTGTTGGGGCGGATCTTTCTCTTTTCGACGACTTCAGGAAGTGAGACCCCTCCTGCACAGTCTGCAAAGCGGGCCCTGGACGACTTCTGCCCCCCCAACTTTTCCTGAAAGCGCCATTGCATAGGAGCCACCGCTTAGGGGCAGATGGCCCTTCGCTCCCCGATAAAATATTTTGAGGGGGCCAGCTCCCTACAAGTTGATGGGCACTGCCAGTCAAATGGTGCGTGTGCCTTGTGATCAGCGCCCCCCCCCAATTTTTTTATTCAAGTTGGCACCATTACACCACTTTATGCGTGTGGATATAATATGCATATGGAGAGACAATCTCTATCCCCTCCCCTCGGCCGGTGCAACGAATTGTCCCACCCGATCTGGTACTTTTCCCCACTTTATTTTGGTCCTCGTGATGCCTTCAGAGAAGCTGCTGCAATGAATGTCCTGCCAGCAAAAAATGTCTGGACTTGGAACGGACTCCTTATTGACAAGGCAGCTGCGTGGGGACCGGAACGCGACTCTTTAGAAAGGCGTCTCTCTCTCTCTCTCTCTCTCTCTCTCTCTCTCTCTCTCTCTCTCTCTCTCCACACACACACACAAAATTATATGCCCCAACATACCCCAAAGTCTATAACAGATGCGCAAAATATTTTTTCCCCTCCTATTAGCAGAGAGAGGTTGGAAAGCTTCCCCCACCCCGGAAAAAAAATGCCTCTCTCAAAGAGGTGTTTGCTAAATGGATGTTTACCGCGGCTAATGCTTTTAAAATAAGGACAGGAGGGATTTTTTTTTTAAGTCTTCTTTTAAAAAAGAGGCCAAAGGTCTGACAGATTATACCTGCAGGACTGGAGGGCGAGGCGAAAGACAGATCTGAACCAAATTGGTGGAGATAACTCTCTCTCCGGCCTGACAGCTATTTGTCTGCTGCCACCAACCCCCTCAACCCGCTTCCCTCCCCTGGGATCCTTTTCAAACGTCTGAGAAGCAAACACGGGATTTATCATTCTGTAGCTCCGCGCTGGACGAGATGAGGATTCTCTTTAAAGGGCCGGTTATAAATATATCAGCAGAGCCCACATGCTATCTAGCAGCAGTCGGCTACGAACAACGCTCTGGATCTCTCTCTCTCTCTCTCTCTCTCTCTCTCTCTCTCTCTCTCTCTCTCTGTGTGTGTGTGTGTGTGTGTGTGTGTGTTGTGTGTTTGTGGATAAACCTCCAACACTTACACCCACATCCTCAAAACATTTATATCCGGCTCTGCAGAGAATACTTGGCAGTTTAAAGTCCGCTTTTGGTTTCTTTCCGAGCTGATTTTCGCCTAACTCGTTCAGGACGCAAGAGCGGTGTTCCTTGAGAGTAAACAATTCATGTCAATCACGTTTTGCGCTCAGTTAAGTCTCATTTCTGTTGCAAATCATTCTGCTGCAATCGCCGACGAGCCACAAAAAGTGGTATTTGTTTCCTAACGCGGAGATTAAATAATTCGCTTTTATAAACAAGGGAACGTAGAGACCGAGAGCTTTCCTGCGCCACAAGGGGGTCTCTAACCTGATGCTGGGAGTCCTGCACCCGAGAGCTAACTGCGGACGGTCATCATCACTTGCTACGTTTTATAAAAACCAGTCCCTTTCACTTCTCCAAATCAGACCGCAAAAAAGGCGGATATGGAATCGCGTTGCAAATTTACCAACTAGCCGAAAGGAGAAGCGCATCGCCCTGACGTCCCTCCCGGTGGGTGGTTTGGAGAAAAACCTTTGCGGCGTTGTTGTTTTTCATTGAGCCTTTTCAGAGAAAAGAATTTGCTATAAATAATCTTTTGAAACATCGGGTCACCAGACTGTTGTTTTATTATTGCGCAGGCGCATTTTCCGCGGAGCCTGTTTACAAAAACAGCGTTTCTATGTGCCGCTAAGGAGAATGCGCGCGCGCACACGCCGACTAGATCCTCTCCCTGGCGTCCACGTGTACGGCGCCAACATCTGAAAGGAGCGAGCCTCCGCGTGGAAGTCCGCGCGCGCCGAGCGGGGGGCTCCCTCCGGGTGCCAGATAGAAAGCCTATTCGGCGTGGTCCCGCTCCCTGCTCTCTTGTTCTCCTCAAAGGTAAGTCTAAACGCCTGAAGAGGAGGCAGAGAGGCAGGATCCCATCCACACCTCTGCACGTCTCTGCAGAGGTAGCAAGCCCCGCCGAATTTAATGGGATTTGCTCCCGAGTAATTGTGCATAAGTTCAGGACTAGTGCTCCTCTCACAGTGCATAATTAATGGGAAGGTCTGATAAATAAAATAAAATACAGGAGAGCCTCGGATTCTAAGCATGTTTACTTGGAAGTAAATCCGACTGGCAGGAATTGTTTTCTGCCACGAACATCGTGAGCAATTTCCCCCTGAAATGCAGGTGTCATTACGACCACATCACACAAGCTAGTTTAAGTGTAATAGGCTGGAGTGCTTATGAAATATACTAAGTCCCATATAGAATATAAACATTTTAAGCGACAGACACTACTCAGCAGCTGTTTGTGTGTGTGTTCAACACCTTAAGTTATTGCACAAAACAGCTTCTACTTGTGCTATATTAAGACAGTTTACACGTCCAAAAACATCTATTGATATTACTCCCCATTTAAAGGTTTCTGTCTGACAGTTCAATCCTATACCCGCTTATCCAGTGTGTAAACTGGGACATTTACTCCGAGGTAAGTGTGGCACAATAACCCCCTTCTCCTCAGAAGTCGCATTGCGTTTATTTCACTCAGGTAAGTACAGGTCAGGACTGCATCCTTAGTCTCCTCGCCAGAATATGTCGAGCCCAACTTCAACCCAGTGTACCCAGTTTGTGAACAGAGGACTGTTCTATATAAACACACAGACACACATTTTACACGTCGACCCTACTAAGCACACGTAGGGAGGACAAACTCTGATGAATTCAAGGGAGTTTTCTCCTGAATAAATAAACATCCACAGGATGGGGCGTAAATTTCTTTATGAATGGACGCTAGATTTTTACTTTTTTTAAAAAAAACCCAAAAAACAAAACAGGAACCTCCGAGGGGCGTAAGTGGCAGAATTTTGTGGACAATCCGAAGGCTGTTACCTTGGAAAATCGATTTGCAGCGTGAAATTGAACTGTCCACGGGTATAAGGCACGCATCTGTGGTTTGGGCGGGGTGGTTGGGGTGGGGGTGGGAGAGGCTGGCGAGAAATTTGCCCACCTTTCGGGCCTGGTTTCTTCCAAATGCAAAACGTAAACAAGACCTTACTGGTGCGCGGCCTGAGGGAAAGAGCCCAGGGCCGACTGGTTTCTGGGGAATGATCGGCGCTGCTCCTTAATTAATTAAAGCAGAAAAAAGGATTTGCAGAATGCGGCCAGTTATAAGTGCGGCCAGTAACCCAAAACTCCAGCGATTTCCGACCCTGGAGACGCGAAGGAAACCCAAAACCGAGCCCATTAGCAAATGAATTTTCTGTCGTGGACGGCTTCGTTCCCATCCACTTGCCGCTCTGAAAAATAGATCACATTTCGTTATCTTTAGTGGGAATCTGCAACGTGATACCGGATCTCACCCTCTCTGAGCTGCTAAGCGCAGAGGAAAGAGAGCGAGAGAGAGACGCAGGGAGGGAGCGAGAGAGAGAAAGAAGGAGAGAAAGGAGGGGTGCGGAGAGTTGGCTTATTTCTAAACAATAAAGGACTTGTCTTCTCTCTCTCACAACCCCTTTAGCTCTCTTTTTTTCCTGCTTTCCTCCCTCTCTGCGCTTCCTCCTCCCTGAAAAATCAAAACCACTGAAAGAGAAGAGGGGCGCTATTTTGGAGACGCGTCCACCCCGCCGACGCTGAAAAGCGTTTGGTGCAAAAAGGCGTCTGAAAGGAGGGAGAGGAAGAAAAACCCCGAAGGAGGCTCGGGGGACCGGCTGGCTATCGCTGCCCTCCAGACACCTGTGAAAACAAAGCGGGTGTCACCCTGCGAGCTCTGGAGGAGCCCAGGAAAGAGGGGAGCGTCGCCAGGAAGCCCGCGGTCGCTCCTCCAGATGTTGGTGGACCGCAGCGCCGCATCAGGCCCGGCTGGTCAGAGAGGACGGGGAGAAGTGGAGGCTAACAACATCTGAAGGGCCACAGGCTCCCCGGCCTTGTAGTGAAAGATGCGCCTTTTCAAGCTCTTCCCAAAACGCCCCGCCGTAACGCCATTCCCACGCGTTCCGCGTGTAGCGTTTGGCAATCAAACCGCAAGGAAGCAACTCATGGGAGAGGAGAGGTTTCTTCCAGAAAGCCAGAGCTTCTACAAGTAGGACTAGGACCTGGGAGAAATCAGGTTTCCGACCCCACTGTTCCCTGAAGCTGAGCTTGGGCCAGCCTCTGCCTCTCAGCCAAACCTACCACACAGGGTTGTTGTGGGGACTAAATGAGGAGGGGAAGAACCACCTGCGCCACCTTGAGCAACTAGAAGAAAATGATGGGCTAGAAAGGCAATATAAATGCAATAAATCCCTGCATTCCTAGATGACCCTTGGGGTCCCTCCCAACTCTAGGATTCTAGGAAATATATGTGTGACAGAGTGGAGGACATAGCTGTCAACTTTCCCCTTTTCTTGCGAGGAATCCTATTCGGAATAAGGGAATTTCCCTTAAAAAAAGGGAAACGTTGACAGCTATGGTGGTTGTGCGCCCCTGTATGTGTTTCAGCGGCGCAAGGGCAGGAGATGAGCGGCTGCTCTGGTTGCAGTCCTCGTGTTCAGACGCGTTTTCAGGAACGAACGTCTGAACGAAGTGCGGGAGCCTTCAGGAGCACCGGCTTCCACGCACTCTGGGATGCAGAAGGAAGGCTCCCTCGTCGCCACTTATACTAACCAGCAGAACAAGCCAGATGTCGGCGCCTAGGGGTGCCAACTTGAATAAAATATTGGGGCGGCGGCGGGGGGCAAGTAAGTCCTGCCCCGCGCAATCAATCACGCAACGCGGTGCACGGGCACCATGTGAATGCCCATCAACTTTGGAGGGACCCTCCCCCTCAAATATTTTATTGGCCCCTAGCAGTTGGCTCACATGGTGAGCGCTGAGTAGCTACCCTCGCCTACAGCAGTAACGTCTGAAGACAAAGGAGCATTCGCGTGTACAGGATTCCAGATTCCACGCAGGCTCCCTCCGTTCAGACGTTACATGCAGGAGCCAGAGGGGAGGGGAAATGTTGCTGGTCAGCGGCGCCTTCTCCACTTGCCGGTTCTCCTCAACTGTGAAGTCTGAAGGAGGGTTAAGTTAGTAACTTGCCCCAGGACGCATCCCGAGTTCGTGGCAGAGGTGAGAGCTGAACTCGAGTCGAGAGACTTCCAAAATCTGTTACCGCCACCGCTTCACTGAGGTGCTTTCCCCTGTAGCCAGTGGGGGGGGGGCTGAGGGTTTTCGCAGAAATCCCAGGCAACAGCGAACATTTCAGGTTTTTAAAATAAAGCGCGAGCGGCCCCGTCCTTTCTCCCCTACAGCAAAACCCCAACCCCTGTTCCAAGGGGACTTCCTCTTGCCAGAATTCAGGACTGCGACCTTTCCAAACGGAATATGACAAGTTCGGGATGACAAAGCAGCCAGTCTCCCGGCTGGAACGTCAGTATGGAACGTCATAGAATTGTTGGAAGGGACCCGAGGGTCATCTAGTCCAACCCCGCAAGGCAGGAATTGCAACTGAAGCATCCATGGAAACTGCCTTATATACTGCATCAGACAATTGGTCCCCTTTGGCCAGTATTATCGACACTGACTGGCAACGGCTTGTCGGGTTTCAGGCAGGAGATGTCGGGGATCGAACTGGGCACCTTCTGCCCTCCAAGTCCGATCCTAAACAGGCTGGCTTGGGAAGGGAGCCAGCCAATCCTCAGGCAGCCAGGTGGGCGGGGCTGGGGCTTAAATGCCCTGAAATACGAAGCCCTGTGGGTTTGCTTCACCGGCTTGGGATAGACATCTCTCTCTCCCCACTGACCCCATCTCGCCCCATGGTGGCGTCTGGCATCCTGCAGAGGAGCTGCAAGCCGCGTTCGATTAGGGGTGAGACTAGATGACCCTCTGCCCCTCTTCCAGCTCTACAGTTCTGTGATTCTATGGGATTCTGTGCCGTCGGAAAACAGCAATGAACCAGCTTCCCTGATGAAAGGGAGACTTAATTTTGGTGTCACCATTCAGCGCTCTCTCTCTCTCTCTCTCTCTCTCTCTCTCTCTCTCTCTCTCTCACACACACACACACACACACACACACTCTCACACACACACACACACACACCTGAGAAGCATGCAAGGCTGCCATTGACGCGAGTTCCCACAAACTCTCAAAGAAGCAACGGTTCCCACGATTAAGGTCATGTTGCACACAAAAGTCCCCTCCGGTCTATGGCCACTAAAACGTGTTGTCGCCCCCACCGCATGGGTTATAAGTGATCATGCGATTCTCCCTCCCATCTCTTTTACACCCCTAAACCTAAAAACGTTTCCTTTTGGAATCGCTCGCCTCCCACTGAAATCTTGTTTTACTTCCGTGCACAGGAACCGGGGCACGATCCAACCCTCTCTCTCTCTCTCTCGGAAGTGTATTACACACATATGGGGGGGGAGGGAATAATTTCCCTGCAAAATGTCGATATATTCTCATTGATTTCCAGGGGGGCGAGGTCTACACGCGCACATTCCAGGCTGTAAAATGAAGTCGCGCTTACCAGGGAAAAGTTCAGCCCCACTGGACACAGTGGGGGGTTATTCCTCACAGCCAAATAAATAAGCCGCCGCCTGGGCGCTCCCTCCCCCGCCAGTTTCAAGGAATGTGCTTAAACAGGGCTGGATCCGCGCCTCCTCTGCTTGCCGGAACCGGAGCGAAAACAGGAGCCAGTCCGGATCAAAGGGAGACTGGAGAGGAGCTCCAGAAAACGGGGACGCGGAGACTTGGAGCCCAGGTAATAGTGCACGTGCCTCCCCACCCCACCCGTTGCTCCCCCCCCCCACTGCCCAGATTTCCGTCCTCCGCCCACGTTATTCCTCCTCTCTTTCTTTCAGAGGTTTCAATCATGGTGAAAATCAGCCAAGGGCGCAGCACCAGCGCTCCCGCCGCCGCCTCCTCCTCCTCCTGCGCCACTAATGTACATCCTGGATGCTGAAGTCTGTCTAAGCTAAAAAGAATTTCCTTTTTGGAGGAGAAAGCCTCCAGCTCCTTCTGTTCAGAGGAAAGTGCCAGTGATGTTAATGCGGGGTGACACTAAATAAACAGTTAAGTTCGCTTTGGAAAGATGGAGTTCATTATCCAGTGAGCTGCAGTTAAAGCCAGACCAGGCGGGGCCGGTTTGTTTTGGCGCAAAGCGCACAGCAGACTTGCCTCTCTCTCTCTCTCTCTCTCTCTCTCTCTCTCTCTCTCTCCGGAGCCAGCGAGCAACCTCTGATTCCCCCTCCTGCTCCGCTTCTAAAACACACCACTTCTTCTCCTCCTTCAAACTTTCGTAATTAGGTCATTGGAGGAAGGGGAATTAAAACGCTCGGATTGTAACATAAACGTACAGTTTCAAATAGGTAGATATACAAAATCACCAAATTTTGTGTGACTCCGCTTTTTTTTTAAAAAAAGAACTCCGCTCCGAATTAACCCGCAATTTGCGTTCCGACTTGCCCTCGAAGAAGCGGAGAAGTTATTCCAGGCGGCGAGTCGCAAAGAGCGTGTGGATCGCGCCTCTGGTCCCCCGCGCGGCATCCAAGGCTCGTCTCTATGGAATTCAATCCCCCACTGGGAGTGATCCCCCCCCAACCAAGTGGGGCTTACTTCCGAGTAGACACGCACAGGGCAGGTTGCTCGGTCTCAGTGCTCACTTAGCTTGTGGTGGGAGAAGGAGCCCCATCGAGTTAAGGTGGGTTTTTATGAGAAAAACTCATTTGAACTGGAGGGATACCCTGCCCGATCTCCTATACGTGTTTACTCAAAAGTAAACCCAATTTTAAGAGCCGGTGGAGCGTGTTCTTCCTAGGAAAAGCCTGCCAAGGAGTGCAGGGGTTGTAAACACGCGTTTCCTGCTGCAATCCACGCTTACCTGAAGGCAAAGCTCCATTCAACTCAATGGGATTTCTAAATAGAAACACTCGGGACTGCGTTGCAAATTTAAAGGAGATTTTAAATTTTGCCTGGATCGTATCCTACTTCTTTTTTTTAAAGCGACTTCACTCTCGCCTCCCGTATGCCAATTTCGTTTACCTGGAAGTAAATCGCCATTGAAAGCAATAGGGTTCGCCTCCAAGTCCGTGCGTTTCCGAATCGGGGCCCCCTCTCCGACTTCGCAGCAAGAAAGAAGCCGAGAACTTGTCACCTGAGACCGCAATCCTGTATTTACTTGCCTGGAAGTAAGTCCCAGTGAGTTCAACAGGGCTTGCTCCTGAGTAGGCAGGTATAGGATTGCACTGCGCCTCGGCTACGTTTCCACGCAGTTCAGAGCCTCACCGCACCAGTAGGAAATCTCAACAGACGCTTAATTAAAATAGCAACCCCCTTTGTGTGTGTGTTTTTAAGCCTACCTAAAAGACTTCATTCCAACCCCCCAACCCCTTTAATTTATATTTTCTCCACTATAATTTCCCCACAGGGCTCTGAAAAGAATTCCAAACCCTTGGCATAATAAGTGGATTGTACGGATCTTTTCTACTTTCCTCAAGCACAAATTGCACAACAAGAAAAGAGGAGAGCCGCTCTCGGTAACATAAACCTCTCGGATTGGAAAAGGAAGAGGAAGAATAAGGAGGAATAAGCTAAGAGGCGGAGAGACGCGAAAGAACAATCGCCGGGTGCCCCTCTTTCCGGGTCATTACGGTACTGCTGGTCTCCAATCAATCCTAATGCGATGGCAATTGGAGTCCCCGATGAACGCATCTCAGGTTTCGTGTAATGGCTCTACCACATTTTCCTGGACCCCCTTCTTTAACCTGAGATGCCAGGGGGACGGGTCTCTTTTCAGCTGCTGATTGCTTCAAGATGTGGGGACTCCGGGGGGGGGGGGAGGGGAGCGAGAAAGTCTTGGGATAGCCAGAAACTGTTTGTTGTTAGTCTAAGCTGTTTATTTAATCAACAGAACAAAGCAGATTTTTCTCTCTTCTTCCATTTCTTTCTGCAACGCTCCCTCCATCTGTTCGGGATTCGGAATTCCGCCTCCCACTTGAGCCAAGTTTCCAGTTTTATAATACTGGGCTGCTGTCTCTGTTTACTAACAAACAGATCACTTGGAAAGGACTAAGGATTTATTCTAGCCAGAACCTACAAAGGCTGATTATGATTATGATTATGATATTTACAAACCACTTAAGGTCAAAACAGACTTCCAAATGGTTTGCGAATTTTATTTTATTTTAAACCAGTTCATACAAACCTTAGAATGGAATCTGCAATAGAATAATCCCATTATTTGACCCCAGAAAATTGTGAAAGTCTTTTATGTGCAGAGTGCCTATGCTAGCGGTAGCCCAAGACGTTTCTCCCCCTGAAACCAAGCGTCACAATGATTTCTTAATATTTCTTATTTATTTGTTAGATGTATATCCACCCCCATCCTTGGATCAAGTTACAACAGAAGTTTTTATTTATTTTTGTTCTCTTACATATATAAAAAAGAGTGTTCATATCCCACACTTTCATTGTAAAAACCATGCATTGGGGACTCACATCAGGTATTTTTTAAAAATGATAAGGAATCATACATATTATGATGTAGATTCTGTATCTGTGGGGTTTCACAGAATGCGGAACTGTGCCATACACAGTTAGCCCTATGCAGGGGGAGTAATGAATACATAAAAATCAACAGTTTCAGTAATAAGTACTAGTGTTACTATTATGTGTTAACTTTGGTCTTATTTAAACATTTATTTGTTAAAATGATTTACGTCCCACTTTGAGAAAACATTCCCTCCCCAAAGAAACCTGCAAACAAAAGTAATAAACACATGACAATAACGAAATTGGGAAAAATGGATTAAAACAGATCAATTAATATTTTTTTTCATACTCACTTGTACTTCTGCAGAATGCCAGAATAATACCTGCAAAATAATTAATTATCAGTGCAAATGTGGGCAGAGAGGCAAGTATGTTTATTGAGGGAGAATAATGTGAAATGTGGTGAAGAACTTCATTTGTTCCAGTTTCCTTTCTCTTTTTTGTTTTATCATTATTTTTTCCTTGAATCTATGCTTATCGTAAATAAATGTTTTTGTAAAAATAGGGTGTTTTTGTTTGGGGGGGGGGAATAACAGCGAATCAAAAACAAATCAAATATTGATCTCTAGAGAGGGCAGAGGAGAAGGAGACAGACAGCAGCATCACTGAATGCAAGAAGAGAGCAATAAAAAGCAACAAATTGTAAAATGCCGGACAGGACTGAAAAGGGTTTCAGTACTAGTTTCAAAGCAGGAGGAGAGGCTTCCAACTGGAGGGAATTATGCAAGTGTGGTGCCAACACTGAAAAGTTCCTGTCTGGGAGAGCTCAGTGGTACAGCATCTGCTTTGAATGCAGGTTCCAGGCTGAACCCCCAGCATCCTCAGGTACAGCTAGCAAACACTCCCTTTTAAAAATTCTGGAAAGCCAATGCCCATCAGTTGCTCTTGAGTTGGGTGGACCGATACCTACTAAGTCAATGTCTACTGATTTAAATAAAGAGATGCACTGACATGAAAAATACAACAACCCTGCAGGCGTGAAAAGAGTAGCCCCTGAAGAAAAAGCTTCCCCTAGCAACAGCTTCAAATTTCTTTCATGGTAAAGGTAAAGGGACCCCTGACCGTTAGGTCCAGTCGCGGATGACTCTGGGGTTGCAGTGCTCATCTTGCTTTATTGGCCGAGGGAGCCGGTGTACAGCTTCCGGGTCATGTGGCCAGCATGACTAAGCCGCTTCTGGCGAGCCAGAGCAGCGCATGGAAATGCTGTTTACCTTCCCGCCGGAGCGGTACCTACGGTATTTATCTACTTGCACTTTGACGTGCTTTCAAACTGCTAGGTTGGCAGGAGCAGGGACCAAGCAACGGGAGCTCACCCCATCGCGGGGATTCGAACCAGCGACCTTCTGATCAGCAAGTCCTAGGCTCTGTGGTTTAACCCACAGCGCCACCCGCGTCTCTTTCATGGTAGGAAGCACAAAAAGGGGTGCTCATCAAATGACACCAAACTGGGAGAGGAAGGTAATACCGCAGAAGTTAGAATCAAGAGTCAAGAGGACCTTAACAGATTGGAGAACTGGGCCCAGGCTAACAAAATGAATTTCAGTGGGGACGATTGTAAGGTTCTGCACTTAGGCAGGAAGAACCAGATGCATAAATAGAAGATGGGGAACACCTGGCTTACTCGTGGGGTTATTTGGTTTGTTTTTGTTTTAATTTTAATTTTGATTATGTATTTTGTGTTTTTATATTGTGATTTTGTCCTGTGAGCCCTGCAGGTATAGGGCATAATAATAATAATAATAATAATAATAATAATAATAATAATAATAATAATAATAATAGATAAAGGATCTAGGGTTCTTGGTGGACCACAAGCTTAACATGAGTCATCAGTGTGATGCAGCAGCAGAAAAAGGGCAAATGCTATTCTAGGCTGCATCAACTGAAGTCTAGTGTCCAGATCAAGGGAAGTAATAGTCCCACTCTATTCTTCCTTGGTCAGAACACACCTGGAATACTGTGTCCAGTTCTGGGCACCACAGTTTAAGAAGGATGTTGATAAGCTGGAAGGTGTGCAGAGGAGGGCAACCAAGATGATCAAGGGTCTGGAAACCAAGACTTATGAGGAACGGTTGAAGGAGCTGGGTATGTTTAGCATTGAAAACAGGCGACTGAGAAGAGATATGATAGCCATCTTCAAATATCTCAAGGGCTGTTACATGGAAGATGGAACAAGCTTGCTTTCTCCTGCTCCAGAGGGTAGGACCCAACTCTATGGAGTCAAGTTACAAGAAAGGAGATTCTGACTGAACATTAGGACGAACTTTCTGATGGTAAGAGCTGTTCACCAGTGGAACGGATTCCTACAGGAAGTTGTGGAGGTGGGATGACCAGCTGTCAGGGACTATTTAGCTGAGATTCTTGCATTGAAGGGGGTTGAGCTAGATGGCCTTTGGGGGTCCCTTCTAACTCTACAATTCTATGCAATCTATGCTAGGGAGAGGTGCATGTGCTTGCAGGTTTCTTTATTTCAGATGCCAAGACAACTTGGCCCCTGTTGAGGACTATGCCCACTTGACGCTCCACTTTACTAGCAAAACATTAACTATTTTTAAAATATATATATACAGTATATACAAATACGTGCACATTTAATTAAGAACATAAAAAAGAGGCAGCAGATCTCCCTATGGTTAGAAGTAATGTTTAATTCCTTGACTCTGGCACTAGGAGGCAGCATGGAGCGCAAGCCTGTGGGCTAAAGCAATTATGGTCAATTTCTATATTCTCACAAGGGTCACACCTTGATTGAAATTTGGCAGGGCTATTGCACATAATCTTTTTCTAGTGGTTGGACCTATTAGTCCTGGCCCAGTGCATAATGCACTGGGTTAAAATTCATTCTGGCTTTTAGACCATGGATGGGAAACCTCCAGATGTGGTTGGCCAACAGTCTGGGATGCTGAGAATTAGAATAATAGAATCATACGATACGATACAAATCTTTATTGTCATTGTCCCATACAGAACAACAAAATTGAAAAAATCTACATAAGACGTTCAAAAACCAACAAGCCTGCTATCCCAGCTATCCCAACCTGGTTGTTGTTGTTTAGCTGTTTAGTCGTGTCCGACTCTTCGTGACCCCATGGACCAGAGCACACCAGGCATTCCTGTCTTCCACTGCCTCCTGCAGTTTGGTCAGACTCATGTTGGTAGCTTCGAGAACACTGTCCAACCATCTCGTCCTCTGTCGTCCCTTCTCCTTGTGACCTCAATCTTTCCCAGCATCAGGGTCTTTTCCAGGGAGTCTTCTCTTCTCATGAGGTGGACAAAGTATTGGAGTCTCAGCTTCAGGATCTGTCCTTCCAGTGAGCACTCAGGGCTGATTTCCTTCAGAATGGAGAGGTTTGATCTTCTTGCAGTCCATGGGACTCTCAAGAGTCTCCTCCAGCACCATAATTCAAAAGCATCAATTCTTTGGCGATCAGCCTTCTTTATGGTCCAGCTCTCACTTCCATACATCACTACCCAACCTGGTTAGCCCCCTAAAAACTCTGATACCCTATTTTTAAATACAATATACTCCCATAGAGACTTTGCATTTAAAACCAAAACCGCATTTGGATAGAAAGCATCGTATAGTAATAATATTATAATACCGGTAATTTATTATTTATACCCTGCCCATCTGGCTGAGTTTCCCCAGCTGCTCTGGGCGGCTCCCAATCAAGTGTTAAAAACAATACGGTTGTAGAATTGGAAGGGATCCTCAGGGTCATCTAGTCCAACCCTCTGCAAAGCAGGAAATTCAGCTGAAGCATTTGTGACAGATGGTCATCCATCCTCTGCTCAAAAACCTCCGATGAAGGAGAGTTAACAACATCTGGAGGAGCACAAGTCCCCCATACACGACCTAGTCAATATGTCCATGGGGTTATCCCAGTTTATTCTTCCAACAATCCTGGGATGGTACTGGGTTAGCATAGCTGAACCCTGGGACTCACTCTCTAAAGGAGACAGGGATGGCCGTCAACCTTGAGGGCTTTAGAAGTGGATGGGACAAATACATGGAGGCCATAGCTGTCAACTTACAGATTTGAAAATAAGGGACCAGCAGCCTCGAAAATAAGGGATCAGCAGCCAAAATAAGGGATTTTCTGAGCGCAGGTGTGTTCAACTTCTGAGCCCCTCCGAGCCAACTGCAGAAAGCCCAGCCAGCAGCCAAACGAAGCCTCAAGCGGTGGTTCCCACAGCACAGCAACCCGGCAAAGGGGATGCAGCAAGGGAAACCACCGTCACCTCTCTGCTGGGAAGCACTGAGCAAAGGCGAGTCCCCAGGCAATGCAGCCAATTTGATCGGCACAAGGCATGCAAGCTTCACCCCCCAGTCGTTCTTAGACTCCTTATTGGGTGAGCAAAACAGCCAAACAACACAGTTGGAGCCTCCCTCCTCCCTGGCCGGCAGGGAGGGAGGGAGAGGAGCTGCTTCTTTTGAAACCCGGGAAATTTAAGGGACATCACCAATAAGAGACAGCAGTGGGACACAGCGCTAGGATAAGGGACTTTCCCGCCAAATAAGGGACAGTTGACAGCTATGATGGAGGCGGAGAAGGCTCTCCATAGCTACTCGCCATGATGGCTGCGCTGTGCCTCCACAGTCAGAGGCAGGAACACTTCCGAATACCAGTTGCTGGAAGCCGCAGGCAGGCAGAGTGTTGTAAGACCAAGAGATGGTTTTAGGGTAGCACGACCCGTCCGGCCGCCCTGGGCACCAGCACCACAGGGGGCGCTGCAACAATAGTGTGAAACAGAGCACAAGAGACCTGCCCCTCCACCCTCAAACTTTAGTATCGCACCAGGGGCTTCTGAATTTTTTTATTTTTTTATTTACCTTCTTATGTCACATATGTATACATTATCATATTACATTACAGGGCATATTATAATATAATTCCCAACATGTATACAAAGTTTATATACCAAATTTATATACCTAAAGAAAGAAAAAAGAAATAAGAAAGACATAAAGCCATTTCAAAATAATATTTGTACCAACACTAAGGACTTCCTATCAATCTCGTTGCATATTCTTTTTTTTACAAATGAACGTACTCTTATTATTGTATATTTCTTTACATTTTATCTAATACATTCCTATATAAATATGTACCCTTAATCTTGTTTCTCAGCTCTATTTCTCTCCAGCGTCAATTGAATGCTAGCATAGACAGCAAACCTTTACTATATTTTTGAATATATATCTTACATCTATCCCATTTTCCCATAAATTTTTGTTTTGAATTGCCTCTCAGGCTATTTGTCAACTGCGCCATTTCAGCAAATTCTTGTAGTTTATTATGCCAGTCTGTTATTGTCGGGGCTTCTTCTTCCTTCCACCCCTTTGAGGGGCTTCTGAAATTTGAGGGACCAAACTCCACCGCAGGTAGGACTCAGGCAGGTCTTGTTTGAGGTTTTCCGCAACAGGAACCTGGTTAGGCTGTTGTAAGAACAGGAGGCTGAACCAAGCTGTTTGGTCTTTCTTTCTTTCTTTCTTTCTTTCT